CAATCTGACCCTTTCTCATTAGCCTACTAGACACAATCTCATTACTAGTACTCCAGGCAGGAACCACACTGCTCTCTAAATACAACAGAGGACCAAGTATCATAAACAAAATCCCCCATGTCATAAAAGGAACATTTAGGAGGAACTTAATTCAGTTATTGTGTTTGCTGCCATGGTTATGTCTGTCTGTGTTCAGTGCTTCAGAAGTAATCTCTGTGAAATAATAAGCAAATAAGCAAACCAGATGAAGACTAGGAAAAGGGTGCAGAATTACTCTTTTTTTCAAGTGTGGCACTTCAAAGAGAAGTTTCTGGCTGATGTCATCAAGCGCAGCTGAACTCACTGCAGCCTTCTCCACTGCTGTAAGTCCAAGATTTTGCAACTGACCTGAAAGTAGGCAGAGAGGGAGAGGGGGCTGAGGTCAGGCTCCAGCAGGGCTCTTTCACCAGGTTGTTCATGGGCATGTTCACCAATCTGATCTCCTTTTATGACCAGGTGACCTGCCTGGTGGATGCAGGAAAGGCTGTGGAAGTTGTGTACCTGGACTTCAGCAAGGCCTTTGACGCTGTCTCGACCCACAGCACGCTGCTGGAGAAGCTGCAGCCCAAGGCTGGGACAGGAGCACTCTGTGCTGGGTTAGGAACTGGCTGGATGGCCAGGCCCAGGGAGTGGTGGTGAATGGTGCTGCATCTAGCTGGGGACAGTCACCAGTAGTGTCCCTCAGGGGTCTGTGCTGGGGCCAGTTCTGCTCAGTATTTTTATTGATGACATGGATGAGGGGATTGAGCCCTTCATTAGCCAATTTGCAGATGACACTAAGCTGGGAGTGTGTGTCGATCTGTTGGAAGGCAGGATGGCTCTGCAGAGAGACCTGGAATGGTTGGAGGGATGAGCAGAGTCTAATAAGATGAAGTTTTATAAATCCAAGTGCCGAGTCCTGCATTTTGGCCACAATAACCCCCTGCAGCGTTATAGGCTGGGGACGGTGTGGCTGGACAGTGCCCAGGCAGAAAGGGACCTGGGGGTGCTGGTGACAGCCAGCTGATCATGAGCCAGCAGTGTGTCCTGGTGGCCAAGAAGGCCGAGGGCATCCTGGCCTGTGTCAGGAATGGTGTGGCCAGCAGAAGCAGGGAGGCCATTCTCTCCCTGTATTCAGAACTGGTGAGCTGCACCTTGAGTGCTGTGTCCAGTTCTGGCCCCTCAGTTTAGGAAGGATGTTGAGATGCTTGAGCACATCCAGAGGAGGCACCGAGACTGGTGAGGGGCTTGGAACACAAACCCTGCAAGGAATGGCTGAGGGTGCTGGGGTTGTTTAGCCTGGATGAAAGGAGACTCAGAGGTGACCTTATCACTCTCTACAACTTCCTGAAGGGTGGTTGTAGCCAGGTGGGGGTTGGTCTCTTTCTCCAGGCAGCAACTGACAGAACAAGAGGACACAGTCTCACGCTGCAGCAAGGGAAATATTGGTTAGATACTAGGAAGAAGTTTTTCATGGAAAGTGATGAAGTACTGGAATGGTCTGCCCGGGGAGGTGCTGGAGTCACCATCCCTGGATGTGTTTAAGAAAAGACTGGATGTGGTGGCACTCAATGCCATGGCTTAGTTGAGATGTTAGGGAACAGGTTGGACTTGATGATCTTGAAGGTCTCTTCCAACCTCGTGATTCTGTGATTCTATGCCTGTGCCAGCAGGAAGGAAAGAGCCAGATCATTAAGCCCTTCCTCAGAAGGAGGGAGATGTCTGGAGAAACATCCCTATTCAATAAATGGTCTGATGAGACCACAGCTGCATAGCGTGTATGACCCTCCTCCACCACTGTTTTACTGTGAAATTGTAAAAACTCCTTGATTTGTCAAAACTGTATCACTGCTCACTAAAACACAACTGATGTGTTTGTCCTTACACCTTGGGTAGTACAAGAGCCTGGCAAGGGCTACACCCAAGATGGATCCAAAATGGTCACAAAAAGGACAATCAGTCACAAGGTTTCACACTTTTATAAGCTTTGGTCCATTTGCATATTGGAGTTAATTGTCCAACTATAGCTTCAGGTTATGAAGTCAATCCTCCTTGTTTACCTCTTCTTCACTTCCCTGTTGTTTATGCCTTTTGGCCTGAAGCTTGTAGTGGTTGTCCTTGGTCTTAAGCTGGAAAAGGATTGTTTCGTCTAACTACCCTCTGAAGAGAGCCTACTAACACTTAATATGATGCTCAGAGCTACACCCCTAGGCAGCACAGAGTCTGAAAAATATGATAGCTAAAACTTAAGACATCAGTATTAGCCACCTGGAGCTGTGCTCTCCCTGCCCATGATGAGAGGAAGTATGCACAGGAAGAAGTGAAATTTTCCACAATAAAAAAGTATTTTCCACAATACTGTGGAAAAAGAGAAGACCCTGGGCACAAAGTATTACTCCCAGGATATAAGGACATTGTTCCTAATTTATTTGTGATCTCCTACTCACGCCCTGGTACACTGAATGCCTTATCACTGTTACATCATCACACAATATCAGACTAACCTGCAAGCATGTTAACTGTGTTAAGTATGTTAGAAAATACCAAGGCTAGCTGTCTAAACACATAGATGTCTGAGCACTCAATCTCAGGCAGCACAACAAGCAAAGGATAGAGGTGCTTATACAAAGGTACATGTAGCCGGTTTGGATTTGGGAAGGTTTTCTGGCTGGATGCCAGGAGAATAAAGAACATCTGCCCAGTAAGACCTCTGTGGGTGCTCCACAGCTCTCAAAAACTTGTCCCTCAGTAAATTCTCTGTTATTATCCAGAGGAGCATGAGGGAGCTCAGAAACAGCCGTACCCTGGCACAGAGAGGCAAAGCAGAGAAAGATGCAGGTGCCTAACAGGCAGAACAACAGCATAGTGACTTGTTCTGGTTAGAGTCTGCCAGGACAGGCAGCACTTGGGAATGACATCAAGTTTTCACATCAACACACGCCTCTGTGCCTCTTTTTTTAACAGGAAATTAGGCTAACGTGATAAAAAAATCACTTGTCTCTTCACCAATTAATTTGATTTTTTTGAGGGGGCAAGGTATGTATCTGGGGGGTTTTTATCTCAGTTCAACCCAGAGATGCAGATCCCAGTATCTCTGAACTTCCTTTTCTGAGGAGCCACAACAGAAGTAGATAAAATTACAGGCTTCTTTAAAACCTTCCAATCCTGTCTCTGGCCTTGTAAGTATATGCTATCTATTAACTATTCTTAAGGGTGTCAGAATATATTTCTTCTTGGGTTTATATCACACTTCCATTGTCACCCAGCCTACTTGCACATTTTAATATCAGCAATGTCCTATTACCAACTTATCAAGTTCAAATTACACTTGGCAGATAACTTGTGCACAAATACCTTGATTACTCTGTGTGATGGTTGAGAAATGTGTGCAATATAAGCCAAAAGGTGGAGAAAAGCTCTTACATTTCTCTTCCTCCTTATATTGTGCAGCGCTCCCTGTCAGACTCTCTTCCTCATGGATGGGCTCCCTGTTATTTGAGGATGCCTCCTTGAAGCTAGTGATGGGGATTTCTTAATACAACCCCATCAGTGCTGCATTCTCTATGCTTTCCCTTCAGGTGTGTTCTGAGCCCTTTACTAGGAGCCAGTGTCCATCACACAGCCCAGTCACTCCCAGAGGGCACTGTCAAGTTTATCTGCAAAGTAACTGGTGATCACAGTTCACCTACATCCACTGGTACCAAATGTCACCTGGGACTCCCTCTACATGCACAGAGATTGGTCTGTATCACCCTTTCTGGGTCTGAGATTAATTGGAATCATAGATTTCCTCTAAAAGAAGTATCTACACACACAGATGTCTGCATGCTGCTGGTGCATGAGCTGGACAACCAACTCAGCAAGTGTTATCACTCACTGCATGGTGTGGGACTGCACCCACAACCATTCCCTCAACCTCTGTCATTTACTGCATCTGCAATGTGTTCACAGAAGAATGATCAAAAACCAGCATGAACTTTTTGCACGGAGACATGCCAGCTTCTTTGTCTAGACATGGGAAAACAGCAGCCAGAAATGTCAGGAAGTCCTTGATAGGGAACTGGGGACATCCAAGATGGGGGAAAGAAAGAAGGGAGAAAAGCAATCCTAAATGACTGAGGGGAAAGAGGGAATTCTGGATGAAATCACTGAGTTTACATGTCCCATGGCAGTTTCCAAGTTTCACCAAAGGATAAGCAACTTTAGAGATGCAAAACCCAGAGAAATGGAAAAGAAAATGATGTCCAGGTATGAATTGGGAAGGGCAAAGTAAATGCTGGGGAATCCTTACGAAAGAACCCCACATCTAACTGAGAGTCTTTCCCAAACTATCTTCAGTTGAAGACCTGGACAGGAGACAGAGGGACTGCATATAGCTGTGATTTCCAAGGGGCCATTCTAGGAGCCACATAGCACTGTCTGCTGCAGCCCCCTCCTGCTACTCCAGAGCAATTCAATACAAGTGCAGTCTTTACGAGAGTTAATAAGAGGTATCTCATTAACTAGTGTACTAGTATGTTGTCTTTCCCTCCCTAGATTGTTGACTCCTGCCTCTGAGGCTATTAAATTATGTGAGGTAAACCACACAATTAATAAGCAGCTGGGAGAAGATGCTAAGCTGTGGTACATTTATCAAATAGAAGTCAAGTACAAACAAGACCTATTTACAGAAACATGGGATTTAAATATACACATAAGAAACACATAGGAAGCAAACACATAGGAAGACCTCTTGGACTGAATGTGAAATTCAAATAAATTTGGAAGCTGAATTACAAAGTGCGGAGGTGTAAGAATTACTTCACAATTCTGGGAAAATTATATCTTGTGTAAGCAATTTGTTTCTACTTTAAAAACAAAGACTCCCAATTGCAGCAGTATCAGTAAACTGTCATTATACATTTTTTCAGTTGATCTGGATAAGGAAGCAATGGAGATGGGAGATAGCCATGTAAGACAGCTGTTTATTAGCCAGTTTTCAGATCTCAGTACACCCTTTTTTTTCTGGTTTCTTTGATTCATACTAGCTGATATAAAAATACTTAGACCCATGCACTGCATTAGACCTGTCGTTTGGAAGGACCAATCACCTGTTCAATAGTTTTAATAGTTTTAATCACTATTTTGATTAAAAAATCAGATAGTAAACTACACTAGGTGCATAAAAAGCATGTTTAAAAAGGGGTCTCTTGCTGATTTCAAGACATAAGAACATGAAAATGAGTATATTACTACTGATGACATGTCATATAAATTTATATGACAAAATATCTCCATTTAAGCTAGAGAGCTAAACTTACATTTCAGCCTGCTAAAACTTTTAAGGGTAACAAGACCATGGGAAAAGCCTGACTATGAAGACAGTGGCCTTGATAGGCAGAGAGAAATCCCACCTATTGAGTAATGTCAAAACCAGCAGTTGTAGGACCAGGTAATGGAAGATGTTTGCTGGTCAGGCATACTTTTGATGTATATTTGTAATATTTTAATTAATAAATAAAATAAAATAATCAATCAAATAATAAATTAATAAATAAAATAATATCATCAATCTTAGAAAGCAGGGCGCACAGTACAACAAGCAAAGAAAATAAGGGTGACTCTGCTCAGGGAATTTCTCAGGGAATTTCCAGGCAAATTCCCTGTGGAAATAAAAAAGAAGGAAAAAAAAAGTTTTTCTCAGTAGTGAGCTCTCTTCTTACAAGGGCAGGTTTGGGAGATGAGTGGTTTTTGGGTTTGGGGCAGGGGGAGAGGTTGTCTATTTGTTTGGGTTTTTTCCCCTTCTGTTTGAGGGTTAACCAAAAGGCAATGGCTCATGCATCATTATTTAACCTGTAGGTGGCACAGCATCACTGGATAGTTTTCAGCCATTCAGATCTGCTTCATCCCCTCTTGAGGCTGCCCCTGACCCTGTGGCTGTAAGGAAGCCCTAAGAAGAGCCGTGATGATGTGGTTGCTGAGAACTTTCTTCCTGGCAACTGTTTTTTCTTGTACTTGTATGTGCCCTGCTCATCCTGCTGCCTGCACAGTCACCAGTGGAAAAGGGGATGTTCTCATAGCTTCTCTATTTTTTCTCTTTTATTGCCACAGGTGGCTCTGCACGAGACTTGCAGCAAATTCCTATATCCATCACCAAGCCAGAAGGCAAAACAGTGCTAATCAATTGCCATGTCTCCAGTCCTGATTTTAGCAACATTTTTATTCACTGGTACCAAAAGAAAGCCAATGCAGCTCCCAAGCGTTTTGCCTACATGTTCTCCAGGTTTTTCCTTGAAAACCAGACTGATAAGGGGAAGTTTACTATTGAGAAGGATGCCAGCAAATCTGTCTGCACCCTGACAGTCAGCAAAGTAAAGCAGCAAGACTCCGCCACCTACTATTGTGCTAGTTGGGATCCACAGTAGTAGAAAGCCACAAGGGACCTGCACAAAGACGTGCTCTACTTTCCAGATAAGAACCTGAAGTGTTTGACAACACACAGGAACACTGCCACCCCACTTTTCCCAAAAGCTATGAATCAGATTGCACTAACAGCCAGATACAAAAGATGCTGCTGAGTTTTGCAGATGTACACTACAGCCAGTACCAGCAGACCTGTTATTTCACTTCACCAACAAAAAGGGCATTTTTTGGGCCAAGATGGATTGACTCTGAGTAGGTTTATTAGACGACAGGTTTGACAAAAAGCAGGGTCCTGCTAAAAGCAGGCAAAATCTTTCTATTTTTACTACCCTTCAAGCTACATCTTTAGACTAAAACCCCTGTTCTGTCATTTGTGTAGCAGAATATAACGTTATAAGCAAAAATAAACTTGAAGCACCAGTCAAGACTGCAGATGCAATATACCCATTTTATACTTCTTTGTCATTTGAGAATCTGGTTTTATTTTGTCTTTGTTTTCTTCTTGGAACTGATCAAATTTTCATTTAGGTTAAAACACAAGTGTCCTAATTTACTTCAGTGGGGCTTCTCATCCTACAAAGCAAGACTGCAGCTATAGAGCAGGTGTTTTTATTTTTGCAAACAGAAAGACATTCCTTGGTGTTATTTCAGCTCTTTCTGTTTATGGACAAACAACGTACAGATAAGTCACATGACCATTGTGTTCCTATCCCAAAGGACCTGGTGTTGCCAATCTCCAGTATGGGATCTTCAGAGCACACTGAGCACTGGGGCACCAGTTGCATTTCACAGGAGATTGAAAGATCAGATTCCTGGTACAACTGTAGGACAACAATTAATGGATCTGTGTAAAAATGCTTGAAAAAAAAATTTAAAGCTGGCTCACATATGTAAAATGACATGACAACAAAAGGAAAAGGAGAACTGGTTTAGTTTTCTTTCTAAGGAGTGACCTTCTGTCTGAAAAATTACTTTGAATTGCACAAAATAATTTCTATACTTTACCTAATTGTCTTTATTTTAAACTAGGCCTATGGGGGCTGTAGAGCATTTGCATTTATTTGCATTGTGATTCTTTCCAGCATTTGGAGAAGCCACTCTCAGGTGTAACATCTCACCTTACCTGTGACAAGAAACAGTCATAAACTCAACAATCCTGCTTTTGAGCTTCCAAATATCTGCTGTGTATTTTCCTGGTCTTCAGTATTCGATCTGTGTCATGAGCAGTAATTTCACACCACTCCATTTAGCTCCATGATTTGAGTTTTGTTTATGTTTAATTGGCAGCCAACCTGAGGAAAAGTCTATTTCCTTGGTCCAAAAGACCAAGGAAAAGTCCAGGCATTGTTTAGAAGCTTTCAACTAGTCTAAAAGCAGTGGTAAAATTTGCTTCAGACTACAAAATTACTTTGTACATGAGTTAAGGTAATGGGAGGGAGGGAGGGAAGGAGGGAGGGAGGGAGAGATTTGGGCTGCTTGTGTAAAGCTATAATCTCACTGTTACTTTAGCAGGGTTCAATCAAGCTGCTTTATCTCAGACAACACCTGCCAGGACAACCTCTCCAGAGGCCCAAGTGAGTAATTTCCTTTCCTCAGCTGCTGTGCTCTGCCCCTGCTAGGAGCGCTGTAAACTTCCTCCTGAGGGCAGACACAAGAAAAAGCACTCAGGATGCTGCTGCTTCCTCTCCTGGCCCTGGCTGCAGTCTGGTCTCATAGGTTCCCTTTGTCACCATGACACAGGGAAGTGGAAGGAAGCATCCGATGTTATGTGTGTGAATTAATAGCAAGCTAAGAGTATTTGTTCTGTTTTCTCTCTTTCTTTCTAGATGGACAAGCACAAGTGCTTCTGAAGAGCAGAGAGAAGTATCCATTACCAGAGGGCACAAGGAAACTGCATCAATGAACTGTATAGCTGAGGGTATTCCTGACTTCCAGCGTGCATATGCACATTGGTACCAACACATACCCACCAAAGCTCCAGAACGGATTCTGTATATTGGACCCGGTGCAGTTTCTTATGATGACAATTCCTATAGCAACAAGTATTCTTCTTCAAAGAAAGGTACAAATGTCTGCACTTTCACAATCAATGACATTGACTCCAATGATGTCATTGGAGTCAATGTCATTGATTCCAATTACATCATTGGAATCAATGACATTGACATTGACATCCAGTGATTCACAGCACTTACTACTGTGCCTACTGGCATTTCCATAAAACTAACAGGTGACAGGCAGCCTGTATAGAAAGCTGCCTGTGCCTTGAGGGGCAGGCTTTCTGTCAAACACAGAGAATTATAATTGTACTTTCCTACCACTAAAACACCCCAACATCTTTATGCTGAGTATGTTTACATTAATATCAGACAAGGAGAAAAGCAAAGATGTGCTACAACTTAGGTGGTATACTGCTCTGTGCTGGAGAAAATGAGCACTCCTGTCGGTGATGGCATTGTAGCTAAATTATACAGTAACACAGATCATCTCTGAACAATACAGGTACTTTCCCAAATACAGTCTGAGAAAGCAAAAATGAAGAAATATTGGGGAGGGAGCATAGGAGAAGGATATTTGCTCTTAAGATCTAGCTTGAAAGGCTTCAAAGACAGGTGATGGTGAAGATACGTATCAGTAGTATCTTCCAGCATAACAATTATAAGGACAATGATTTTCTAGGCAAGGATATTATGCTGGGCAACACCTGAAAAGACTATTCCAAGAAAGAATTGTGAAGACCATTTACAAGAACAAGCTGCAGATTAAACCTGGGAGCATATAAAAATGATGATACAGCACTGCTCAGTCAGCTCTGAGGAGAGCTGCAGTGAAATTCATGTGGCAAGGGTATTCAGAACCCCCTGTCCATGTAAGTTATTTTTTTGTTCTTTCATTGTAAATATATCTGCACTACAGGACCTGACACAAACTTATATATTTATCACAAGGACAACAGAAGAATATTAACTTTCTGTATGAGTTGTAACATGAGATTTATTTGTGTACAGTGCTATTGACAAAGGCCTAAAAAAGATCCAAATAATTCTCTCTTTTGGGTCAGAAAATGTGAATTTTTTCTCAGGGAATAACATGATGTATGATGGCTGCTGCCCAGGGGACCATTTGCTATAATGTCTTTGCGAGGCATATTTTCAGCCTTTGAAATCAGGGAAAGTACAAGGAACAGCAAGGGGCAGCAAATAACTGTCTGGTAGGAATGCATGCTTCACTCTGGTTTTGCCACAGCCGCTGAGGCTGTCTTGTAATAGATCCACCATCTGTATTTTTCCTATTTGGTGCTACAACTCCATTGTCAAGGAAGGCAGGCATTGCACAAAGGTCCAACCACCTCACTGCTGGCAAGACACTACTGCCAGAGGAGATCCTTATTTCATGCAACAGAAATGCAAAGATCTTCAAAAGAAATGTGTCATGGCTAGTCAATGCAGTCAAATGTCTACACAGCATTTTCTGTGTCTGTGATTCTTGATGCACAGTGAAAGTAACAGCTGCCTGTTTTTTCTAAGATGCATAGCTAGACAAATATAATTAAGTATTCCTAGGCCTGTTCCTATGCAGTTGGAGGCGCAAAGCTAACCAAAATCCTTGCCCTCAGGAGAGGAGGAGAGACACAGTCCATCGACCAATCTGAAGCAGACAAAACTTTTTTCTGGCCCTCCACCTCTTGATTTGAAAGACAGGTATCTGCTGGGGAAGGCAAGAGCCTCCCTTGGAATGGAGAGTGGAAACCCCCTCCCTCCAAATTATTATAATTTTGAAACTAAGGGGCTCTGAGGCAAAGATACGGGAATAGGAATAAACAGTTCTTTACTAGTACGTATAACAAGGCGAACAAAACAACAACCAGAACATGGATAACAAACAGAGCCAGGAGCCAGGAGAGCCTTCCCGGCCGCCGGGACGTTCCTCCGGTGCAGTGACAGCCAGGGCCGGCAGGGGGCGCCGTCGGCTCCCTGTGGGCAGGGCGGGCGCGCTGCTCCCGCGGCTGGATGTGGGACGGGCTTCGACCCACACAACCCCTGGGGAAGTCGATCCCGGTGCCCCAGCAGGAATCTTGGCAGCAGCAAGCTGGGACGACAGCAATAGCAGAAATCCTGCGGTGGTGGGCGAGATGTATCAGGAACTCTGCAGCGGTAGCTGGAAACTGCGGGGTGTCCCGGCGGGACATGGGGTGCGGGGCCCAGCAGCAGAAGAAAGGCAGCTCCTAGCTGGGTTATGGCAGTGGCAGCGAATTCCTTTTCCAAAGCTGCAGGTCCAACCATCCTCCTCCAAAACACAGAGCAAGAGAGAGTTCCCAGCTGCCCCAACCCCTGTCCTTTTACCTGCCTCCATTCTTGCGGTATCTCTGTCCCTCCAAGAGAAACTCCCCCAAAAAAACAGAGGAGTTCCCCCTCCCCACCTCTCAAGCACCCAGCAATCAATGCTTCTTAGCAACTCAATGCGGGAAAAAAAAAAAAAAATCCACAAGTAACAAGGAAAGGAAAAGGAAAGAAAAACTCAACTCCCAACACTGCCCCAAAGCCCCCTTTCATACTATAAATTTTTGGCCCTTTCCAATGAGATGGAACAATCACGTGCTGTAGATGGGCTTTGATTACTTTGGTCATACATATATTACATGTTCTTCCTCATTTGCATTCCAAGGACCATGAAAGTTAAATATGTCAGTTAGAGTTTCACTTACTTTTGGTCAGAATTTATTAACATAAAAGGTAAAATAAACAGTTTGGCCCCTCTCCAATGTCTGAGGCAGCCTTTGTTGTCTGATCTTTTCCAGAGAGATTTTGTGTGCCTTTTTTTTCTCGTCAGACCAGATTTACATCACAGCTCACCTTTCAGGGTGAAGGGAGGGTGAGGACACGGGGTTGTACTTAGGCACAGGTGCTTCTCTGTGCCTCACTGAAATAGGGCTGTGACACCTCCACTTCGCCCCAGGCATTCCTTGGTTGTGAGACCTTGCTTGAGCCTGATGTAAGGGCAGCACAGAGCCCAGCTCATGTTATCCTCAACCAGCCCCATAAATTCCACACCTACTTAAAGCAACACTGTACAATTCTGACCATTTGCCACACTGTTGCAGGCAATGCCCTCAGGTGGGGAGCAGCCTGACCATCTCTCCAGCCTGTCAAGATCCCTCTGAAGGGCTACACAGCCCTCTGGGGTATCAGCCACTCATGCTATCACCAGCTTCATGCTCTCAGTGACCTGAGGAGGTAACTGCCCCTTCCCCCGGGCCATTGATGAGCAAGTTAAACAATAATGGACTCAGTATTGAACCTTGGCAGACACTACTAGTGACAGGCCTAGTTAAGGCTTAGTTGGGGCTGTTCTACCTGGACACAAAAATACTTAGGGGAGACCTTATTGAAGGCTTTCAGTATCTAAAGACCACTTACGAAAAACAAATCTTTACATAGGTAGATGGTGATGGAAGAAGGGGGGAGAGTTTTAAGCTGAAAGAACTTTCAGGTAGATGTTAGGGAGAAATTCTTTACTCTGAGAGTCGTGAGGCACTAGAACAGACTACCCAGAGAAGATCTAGATGCTCCATCCCTTGTGATGTGCTCAAGGCCAGGTTGGATAGGGCCCTGAGCAACCTCACCTAGAAGGTGACATTCCTGCACATAGGGTGGAGGTGAGAGGGTGATGATCTTTAAAGTCCCTCCCAACCCAAAGCATTCTATTATTCTATGATTCTCTGAAGTTCTAAGAAAGGTGGAACATTCTTCTGAGACAGCTTTGAGGTCTCTGAGGAGAGGACAACATCCTTGGGAAGGGCCAGGCTGAAAAACTTTAGTGTGCTCAGTAGGTAAGTCTGATATGTCTAGTAGCAGATAGATGAAGAAGTTTTTTCAGATCGAGTATTTTTTGTCCTTTCTATGCTACTCCTGCCATGGTTTAGCTTGTCAGTAAATTTAACACCCTCTGTGGTAGTGTGTTGAAGAACAACCATTGGATGTGCTGAATGAGTAATTTCCTCCTCCCAGTCATTTGATGCTGTGTCCACCTGAAGGGCTTTATAACATTTCTGTTTATTTCATTTTCAGGTCTAATCTGCACAGGCAGTATGCTGCTGTTTCCAGTCCTTCTTGCAACTTCATTTTGGTGCTGTAAGACCTTTTTCCTTTTCTCTCTCCTTCCTGTCTACAGTGAACATATGCCTTGTTGCAAACTCCAGGAGTTTCTCCCCTCATGCAATTTCTCTGCTTTCACTTCCAGGCGTAGACACGCAGTCAGTGCCAGTGCAAACCCCGGAGATGCAGGCGCGGATGAAGGGCACTTCTGCCAGAATGTCATGTCAGCTGGAGGGCAACCACATTGTACACTGGTACAGGCAGCTTCCCGGAGAGCCGCCAAAGAGGATCCTGTACGGGTCTGCAGGGACACCTGTTTTTGAGGACAGCAATGATAGAAATAGATTTCAAGTTCGCAGTGATCCTGCTCGATCCATGCATAGTATAGACATAAATTCTTTAACCCCACGCGATTCTGGCACTTATTACTGTGCATACTGGAAATACCACAGAATTAGTTCGGCAAAGATAAGCCTTACAAAAAGACTCTCTGTACTCTGAACCGCAAGTTGTGAACTCTGCTAAAAATTCAAATACTTCCTTATTCCACCCCTTTCATGATTTTCTGTAGCAGGAGTGAAAGAACAACGTCATATGACAAGTGTTAAATATCTGATCTTGACAATCAATATATCATTTCAGTGCTCAGATTTATCTGCAACATTCAGAAAGTGAAATCTTCCTGTCACTTTAAGGTAAATATATGAAACATTGCTCCTAAAATGAAGGCTAGATTTTACTGAAAGCACTCACCTGACAGTGAACACAGTGTCTGTGTGTGAGTTATAGCTTTCTCTTCTCTGTTAGAATTCTAGCAAGCAGAGCAACATTTCTTCATCCCTCAGTATTTTCTCTTGGGAAAAAAAAAAACAAAAAAAAAAAAAAACAAAAAAAAAAAAAACAGGAATAAGAAAGAAGGGGGGAAGACCAGCTGATCTTGCACATCCTCCTTCATATTTTTCTTTTGTCTTCCTTTGCATCTCAGTCACTAAAAAGTTCTACAACAGCACAGAAAACCTAATTTTATTGTCACAATTCCTCATTTGATATGTCCAAGACATAAATTGAAATCCTCAGCCACGAGCTATGCCGCAGACAAGCAAAGACTCTCAGTGCCTTTGGGTTAAGTGTACTGAGTTTTAGAAATCAGATTCTACAATCAAAGACTGGTTCCAAGAAAGCTGGTGTTTTCCTGAAAGCTCAAAAATGTCAAAACACTGAGATACTCTTACATTTTCTGAATTGGAGTGCATGTGTTTAGTATCTTTTAAAAATGAGCACAAATACCTCCACAGTGGTGGATTTATAGTTCTACAGGCTGTGAATGTTTTTTGCTAAAGTTTCTATGTGATTTGAGTATATAATATCTTGCTATGGATGTTTCTGTCTTTCTCAGCTATTCGAAAAATAGGTTGTAGTACATGTGACCTCTGATACTAACTTCAGTCAGCCTGCCTTTTGTTGTTGTATTGTGGGATCTGAGAATGTCTCACAACCAGTCTAGGAGGTTTCAGGAGTGAGTTGGCAGCAACTTTCTTATGTGGGTGATTGGGCAGCCAATAAGGACCTTGTTGTGGATGGAAAGGTAAGGGCAGCCTTGGCTGCAGTGTCTATGAGCCAGTGGTGTTCAGTCCTGAGAGAAGGCAGAAGGGCAAAAGGCAGGACCTCTGCCCTTGACTTCAGGAGAGCAGACTTTAAAGTTCTTCAGAGATGTGCTTGGAGGCATCACATTGGATACAACCCTGGAGAGAAGTGTCCAGGAATGCTAGCTGATATCCAATAATCTTCTCCAAGTTCAAGAAAGGTCCAGTCTGACACCTAGAAAACCAAGTAGAGGCAGTAGGAGTATCTCAAGAGTGAGCAAAAAGCTGCTGACTTTAATCAGGCATTAAAATGAAGTATAAAAGAGGTGGAATCAGAAGCAGGTGATCCAGGAGGAGTATGGAGCTGATGTTCAACTGTGCAGGAATGGGCTTAAGAAAGCAATAAACCAGCTAGAATTGAATTTGGCAAATGAGGTAAAGGTGAACAAGAAAGAATTCTACAAATACAGCAGCAGCAAAAGAAACACTAGGGAAAACTGCTGGATGGGGCAGGGAAACTGGTGATGTATGATGAAAAACCTGACGTACTCAATATTCCCTCAGCATTTACTCATAAAATGGCCTTCAGGTATCCCAGGCCCCTGAGACCAGATGGAAAGTTTGGAGCAAGAAAGACATAGCCTTTGGTGGAGGAGGATCAGGCTAGTGAACACTTAAACTGCACACACCTAAGTCCATGGTGCCTGATGGAATGTACCCACAAGTACTGAGGCACCTGGCCAATGTCTTTGCAAAGACACTTACTTACCTTTGGAAGGTCACAACAATCTGCACAGGTTCCTGAAGACTAGAAGATGTAAAATCACTCTTATTTTCAAGAAGTCACTCTTATTTTCAAGGAAGAGGAAAAGGAAGACCTAGGGAACTACAGTCAGGTTAGCCCTATCTTAGTCTGGGAAGGTGATGGAGCCACTGATCCTGGAAACCATTTACAGACAGGAAGGTGAAGAATGTGGTCAGGATTAGTCGGCATTGATGTACAAGGAGGAAGTGATTTAGATAACTTTAGATAACAAAGCTCTTTGCAGAATAAATTTTGGCCATTTCATCAGTGACAAGTCTACCTAGTAATAATTTGAACCTGGAAAAGTATTCTTGTATTGTAAAATATTGTAAAACAATATTCCAGCCACTGCATGTGTCTTCTTGGCATAGACACTATCATGTTTGGCCAGTAATTATTCCTACTTGGAGATTTACTGTGTTAGAAAGCTTACAGTACAAAACCTAGACAGTGTCTGCAAATTAGACATTTAATCATGTGCAATCCAGTCACTGACATATTCTTTTACTCTTCATGTGGAATCAGGTGCCTGATAGATTTCTACTTTGTGATCAGAGGAATAGCAATGTACTGTTACTATTTCATATATGGTAGTTTTTGGCAACAGCAGCTTGATTTCAGGTCCTCAACATAGGCAATGCAGTTTTCACTCTGATTAGCTATAGTTGCCCATGCAGGATACTACTGGTATGTGATCTCTTCCTTGACTCTCCCTCCCTTCATCTCAGGGCGGCCTGATGGAAAATTAACAGGCCTTCCCACATTTATTTATTGGGAAGAGGGGGATTATTTCCATTGCCACCACACAGAGGCAGTTGTCTCTCCTTGCCTGACCCTCCTCAGAGCTCTGCTTTCACATGCACCTTTCCAAACCACGTAGGAACATGATTGCCACCAGTGTGCTGCATGTGGTCAGCTGCCAGCAGGAGGGAGAATGAAGCAACTCATCTTCTCTCCCATCGACCAACAGCCTGGGCTCACCAGTCACAGGGGAGACCCCAAAGCATCAAACCCACTCATCAAGATGTCTCTCTGCAGTGACTGTTGACAACAGCTGTTCTCTTTTATTTTCCAGCCTTTTTTCCAAGAAGTGTTTGCATCTCAGCTAAGCTATGAAACTGAAATCCTGCAGCTGTGCATTTCCTCCCACACCCTAAACCAAAGCAAAGGCAAGTCCCAACAGTCGAGCTTCTGCAGTCACTGCAGGTTGATAGTCTTCAGCTTTGGTGGAAGGCAGTACCAGCACAGGGGCACCCTGGGCACTTCAGCACCTTGCATCTAGGTGACTAGGCTGAAGCAGCAAAGGCAGTCCTCTCCTGCTCTGACACTGTGCACCTCTCTGCACCCCTCAGGTAAGGTATGCACTCACTGCCCACCATGGTAACCTCCAGGCTGAAACCTTCACTCCACCATACATATCTGGACATGCTCTTGGTTGCAATCTTTTCTCAGTCACTTTGACTGAATTTTATAGGGCCACAATCCTTGGATTTTATCAATATTTCCCATATTTACCTGAAAAGCAGACAGGACTACAGCCTTTTTACTAATTTTAATATTTGGCAGCCCGGAGAGGATTTTCTGCAAAAACACCCCATCTGCTTGCACACAGAAGGTTCATCACTGAAGACCATTCAAGAGAGACACTTCCTCCTTCCATACAGCACAGTTCCCATTTGGAGTCCCTTTCATCCTCCTTTGAATCTCAATGAGTGCAAAGCCTGACAAGCAAACATGCTGCTGCTGGTAGTGCTTGTGGCCACAGCCTCCTGGTCTTGTAAGTAATTCCTTCTTTTCCTACCTTTCCTCACAGGCACCCATGGCTTTGCATCCGTAACAGGCATCTTTCCAAATCCCTGAATTACAGCTAAGTACATAATTTGTTCTTTTCTCTTTCCTAGATGGATTTGCACAGGAAATTCCCATGCAGAGTCCTATATCCATCACCAAGTTCCAAAAAAGTGCACGGATGACATGTGAAATTCAAATATTAGAGACAATTTTTGATGGCATCGTCATACACTGGTATAAGCAGAAGGAGGGTGAAGCTCCAGAGAGGCTTCTGTTTATTGTAGGAGACGAAGTTACCACTGAAGTTGGCTTTCAAGAAAACAGATACATGGTTGAAAGAAGTTCTGTCCAGAAGCGGTGTGTTCTTACAATAAGAGATGTAATTCCAGATGATGCTGCTACTTACTACTGTGCCTACTGGGATCCTCACTGTGATAGAAATGTAAAGACCATCAAGGCAAAAAAACCCACCCGCAACATCTGAACCACAAGTCTGTAACTGTGCCACTCCACCAGTCTTCTTAGTGCATCTGAGTGAGCTGCTGAAAGGCCCAACCTTTTCCTGCTACCCCAAAAGAGTGGGTAACCCCACATAAATGTCCTTCTCAAAGTCTAGTTTATCATTAGCAGTCCTGTCTTCAACATACATCTGCTATTTTAAGGGCAAAGGAAGTCTTAACACATAAATACTGGACATCTACCTGCTCCTTTGTTGCTTTTACACAGCCATGGCATAATTTTGGTGGTCTTTAGGGGAGCAGAGAAGCAGTAATCTTCTAGTCTGGCCACTTTTATCCCATAGGAAAGAATAGGCAGAAAAGAAATACAGTGTGCTGAAGGAAGTACCTTGGTGTTGGGAATGATATGCTTGCCACTGCCTAACACTTTTGAGAAAAAGTTTCACATGTAATATTCCCTGCTGTATATGTGAGCAACTGTAAGCTGTTGGAAAAACTGTAAGCCCTGTCTACCCTAATTCAGTTACCAAAAAATTCCACACAGACCAGCTCAAATTAGAGATTTTCAATCTCTTACCTACCAGAGCTGATGACATGCTGCTTATCTTCTTCATCCATTTCATGTTAAAACAAATAGGATTGTCATGGTTTAGGAATGGTATTCCCCAATTTAGTGTTCCTACTGAATCACTCCAAACCTTGTGTTACTCCCTCACTCCCACTTCCCCTTCCCCCTACCCATGCAGTGAGCTAGAGAGGAGAACTGAATACACAAAAGTAAGAGGTCATGGTTTGACATAAGAACAATTTACAGCAATGCGATCAGAAAAGGAACAGTAACAGCAACAATACTAACAACAGTGTACAAGAAAGGGGCAA